TCACCTGCAGGCATGTCTGCACATAGGAACACATGCAAACATGCAAATGCACACATAAAAATTAACGCTGTGCATTGTATTGTGAATTTGGTTGCATTTTCAAATGAAACATAATAACTTGCTGTGATGTTGTAATGGCAGTGTTAGCCCTTTGAGCTGTATATGCAATGGTACACACACAGTGAACATGGTTTATACGTATCAAACTGTGGTAAAGAAGCATCTGGGTGCAGCAGCCCTGCAGCTCCTAGCAGGCAGTCCAACAACACAGCTGGTGGTGGTTTCAAGGGGGAAGCCGGCAGGGGATGGTTTTTGCAGTAAGGACATCATCTGTGGTGAGCACCTCTTTGTCATCTTCTGACCCATTAAACTGGTCCTGTGGATCGGAGTGGTTGTACTGGACAGATTCCAGATGTGAAACAGCATTCATGATCAAACGATCGACTCTTAATTAAGAGTACAATTGGAGGAATGTATGAGTTTTCTGTTATTAATCTGAGATTTTCCCAAGAGCCAGCCAATTCCTGACAGTGACATATGTTTGTGATCACGTGACGAAGACATCTAGCAGTTACCATCAGAGTGACTGAGGGGGATGTGTGATGCTCACAGAGGGAGAGGAGAGGGCGGTACAGCGGACCAGCCAAAAACTGGACTTTGACACATGAGAGTTCTCCTCTCACAAAGATGACAGTCACGATCATCTCCTAACTTAAGCTAAAACCCATTAACACCCACTAACATCTGGCTTTTGTCTGCAATGTGAATGGATACAATTGGGATTCGTTTTTATTGGCTGTGATCAGCAGTGATGAAAATGTGACACCCGGGTGAACAGGATAATGTGGCAAGACAGCGAGGTGAGAGAGCACCTAGTTTGTCGGTGCATCTGTGAAGTTGAACATGACGCTCTGGGGGGAAAAAACAAGCAAGCTTCTTTACTGGCAATGGGAGTCAATCGACCTTGTTTAGTGTGTTTACTTGCTTTTGCCTAACCATGATGACACAGTGGACCATTCTAATTTCAACCCAAACTCTGATCTATCTATCAAAAAATCAACACGGCTTGTGTCCTTGTGTCCGTGTGCAGTAACTCGACCTGAATGGTGGTTGGAACTTGTATGATAAGGACAGTTGATTTTGTCCTGCTGATAACTGCGCAGGATAAAAACATGTGTCGTTGTTGTTGTACAGGGCAGCAAACAACGTATTCTGCTGTTTAATTGAAGGAACTTGTTTGTACCTGTCCTCTGTAAACTGTCCTCGGTTAAGCAGGAAATTAGTTTGTGTGCTGACATGCACTGCATATCCATGGAGAGTTTTGTGCTGTGTAGTAATTCTGGTGAAGTGGTTACAGGCCCGAAGAAACCAAACTCTGCTACCACATAAGAAGAATGACTGATCCGTTATCTACCTACTAATTCCACAAGTGTCTGTCTGTATGTCTCTGTGCCTGACTGCCTGACTGTTTATCTGTCTGTCTGCTTGTCTGTCTGTATGTCTCTCTGCCTGACTGTCTGTCTGTCTGTCTATCTGTCTGTCTATCTGCCACTAGATCATGTAGATAATTAGCTTATTTCTACTTCACCGTGTCGGATTGAGACAGACACACAGCCTGTTTGGCAGTTGTTTGAACAACATTCATTTTGTTGCTGCACTGCTTTATGTCGAGATGAATTACAGAGCTTTTAGTTTGAAAAGCTGCAAACTTGGTCTAAAGATTGTGTTGATTACTTAACAGAGCTCTGAAATTTGAAAGGTGAATTATTCAAATGAATATATCAACCACACACGTGAACAGTAATTAAGCAAATTTAGTTTTATTGTATTCAAATTATTCACAATAAAATCTCACTGCAGATAAACCAGGTGGGATGAACACAAAGTTTTTTCACTCTGCACCATGGACTGTTTATAAAAAGCTCTGCACAAAAACAATACAAAAGTGACAGTATATTGTAGAACTGTTTGAGGAGGACACACTAATGAGAAGTATTCATTATTCTACTTAATTGATTAAGTAGCTCTGGAGCATGAACACAGAACAAGAGAACAGAACATTCCAAACAGGCAGGTTTACAACGGACACTGTACTGGTTCTATTTTAAAAGAAACAAAGAAGATATTATCTCAGCTCATCCATTGCTGTAGACAAATAACACTGTTAGTGCAAAGACAGAAGCTCCTCATTTAAATGAATAGGCTGCTGTCAGTTGTTTATTGCATCCATGATCATTTCTCTTATTTCACATCTCCTCCATCCTTCATTCTCACATAATGCAGTAATTGATCAAGTCTTTAATCATTGAGGAAAGCTCAGAGGAGCAGAGTGACTTCCTGAGAGAAGCTTCAGCATGGATATATAGAAGCACTTATTCATTCCAAATGTGGTACAATGATGAGCCGCACTGAGAACACGTCACCTCATTGATTCTTTTTTTTGTCAAGTAGAGTGGGGAAAGGACAAATAACAGCATCAATAGAACAAAGCTCAAAACAAAGAAAGCAGCAGTTCCTATAGAGTTTGATTTGACAAAAGCAGCTTTGTCTCCGACTGCATGAATTACCAGCATCTGCCATGAATCTAATCCCAGCTCCTGTGCATGGCAGGGTTTCTGTTTATCAATGAATATGTCAATGTGACCTACATGATTTTACAACAAGACAAGCTGTCGAAACAAAACAGGCTTTTTTCTCCCTCTTTTTTTAACGCAAAAAACAAATGGGGATTGGCCAACCACATCTGGTATTTAGACAAAGAATCAGATAACAATAAAAACCACATCGTATTTGGCATCAATAAAAGACTAATATCCTGGTTTTCTGGTTCAGCTCATTAGGCTGCGCCTCCAGATCATGACATTTCTACGTCTAGGTTGTTTTGCTTTGGGCTTGTTTTTTTCTCTTTTTTTTGTTCATGTGAAAATTTAAAATTGGCATATATGGTTTCAGAAATTAGCATGATCACCTCCCAGCACATCAACCTACAGTTCACTTGAATAGGCTCCTGTAATATTAAGCTATTCTATTGTGTTTGTAAAGGGTACACATGCTGAGTTTACACGGTTCAAATAGGACCTGTATTATAATTCTTTAGAATCAACACTAATGCAATCTAGTAAGATTTTTTATCTGCTAGGTAACTTATTATTCATCCATAACCATAATATTCATGTTTTATGTATGTATGTATGTATTATATGTATTGTATGTGCTTTAGGCTACGCTTAACTTACAAAATAATAATTACAAAAAAACTTGTGTGTGTGCGTAGAGCGAGGGTGCATGGAGGTCATCTTAACCAATTAAAGTCAATATGCTTTCTTTGCATGAAACATAATTATAATATTATTGCACAATATTATTTTTTACTATGATTATAGTATTTTATTGCAGTTTAATTGCAGTTGTAATTTTGGTTATTTTTTAATGGTTTGGCAACTTTTACGATGTGTTTCTCTGCACAAATGGCTCATTATTATCACCGGGCCGAATTTGACCTTAAACATCACAGGAAGCTTTTATTTCTAGACATCTGAAATAAAAAGGTAAACAAGAACAATTAAATTTGTCTTTATTGAATCAGGAACAGGATGAGTAAATGATGGCGTCCGTGTGACTTTGAACGATTGTTTGCATCATTGGTGACTCATGCCCAATGTGAGTTGAGATTCAAAACTTAATTATACTTTATTGATTTTCAGTTTGATCATAATTTAATGTTGTTGAAATTAATGATACCAAGCAAACTGTAATTGACATAGAATAACAAAAAACAGTTAATTGCTTTGAATGTTAATTGATTTGATTTGAATGGCTCTGTTTTTGACCTTGAAAATAGTCACT